TGTTCATCCTTCCATCAGTCGATCCATGCAATGCTGGGGTAAGATGAAGCAACTTTGTTGCTCGGACAAGTTGGAGTTGTCTTTCAACACGTGCAACTTCATATATTTTCGCTGCAAGAGGAGACAGTTCTGAGGTATCTGACTTCTGCTGATCCATGTGTACAGCTCCAAATGCTTGCACGAAGAGGATGACGACATGTTGGAAGTGTTTGCAAAATACTTTCGCCAGTTGCGGATCGATGTGTTTGACTGTCGAAAAAATTGACGTTTCAAGAGTATCTTGTCGAACCTGATCCAGGGCACTGCTGACGTCGTCGAGGTCCCACGGTAATAGGAGTTGCCGCCTATCGTCATCATCCTCTTGTTGTGGCTGCAACGACCCAGAGAGAGATGGAGATGATGTAGTACCTGGTTCGCAACAATGCTTGGTGCGTGGAGAGAAAAGGTCGCCGCATGTGCCACATGCGGCGTAACCAGGTGCCTGGCTGCTCGAGCGCAAGGATCCAGGAGGAGACAAACTGAGTAGTAGCTCTTTTCCTCGACCTTTATGCTGACGTTTTTGGTGTGTAGCCAGATTCCTCGCCGTCAGGTTCGTTGATCCTTCGCTGATGCAGAGGGGACATGAATACCGTACTTCCGTTGGGCATCGTGGCGCAGGTCCTGGTACGGGTGATGGTGGTGCCAAATCTTGGTTCATGACACCACTCATTGCCGATGCGACTGGAGGCTCCAGTGCAAGCGATTCCACGTCAGTCCATCAGTCTACTACTGCTGCTGCTGCTGTGTGTGTTTTTTTTATTTATTATTAGGATCGACCACGCTAACCGGCTGACCAATTAAAAGACGTCAGTGCCCGCGGGTAAAAATCAAGGTCCCTGGAAGGGGGCCAAAACTCGAAAAATGCGCAATGCGCTTGATGCGAATGCCAATACGACTCTCTCTACATGTTCTTTCACGAAGACACACATCTCAGCTACACAAATGCCCTCGCCCGAACCTAGGAAGCCACTGATGCAAAGAGCGGAGGACAGCAAAAGGGTAATTTCAAGCCCAACCGAAGCCAGGATATCGTTGTATGCTGCATCTCCCAATTTGATAATCGTACACTCCCAAGATCCAACAGTCATCGTGTCAGCAGCTAGATTACTCAAACAAAATTGCAACACATTCACTGCCATAGCTCCACACATGCCCTCGTCCGAACCTAGGAAGCCACTGATGCAAAGAGCGGAGGACAGCAAAAGGGTTATTTCAAGCCCAGCCGAAGCCAGGATATCGTGGTATGCTGCATCTCCCAATTTGATAATCGTACACTCCCAAGATCCAACAGTCATCGTGTCAGCAGCTAGATTACTCAAACAAAATAGCAACACATACACGGCCATAGCTCCACACATGCCCTCGCCCGAACCTAGGAAGCCACTGATGCAAAGAGCGGAGGACAGCAAAAGGGTTATTTCAAGCCCAGCCGAAGCCAGGATATCGTGGTATGCTGCATCTCCCAATTTGATAATCGTACACTCCTAAGATCCAACAGTCATCGTGTGAGCAGCTACATGACTCAAACAAAATAGTAGCACATTCACTGCCATAGCTCCACACATGCCCTCGCCCGAACCTAGCAAGCCACTTATGCAAA